AAGCTTGAGTATCTGAAGGGAGAGTATAACAAGGTTGTTGATGCGCTATCACGTAGAGCAGACTACCTAGGTGCGCTAGTTTCTGACTTTGGCGTATCTGAAGAAGTAACTCAATCATTGGTGGGAGCCTATCAGGAAGACCCTGTCACGATGGACATCATGCACAAACTTCAGGCTAAAGACAAGGCCATAGAAAGTGAGTTTGTGATGGTGGACGGGTTACTCTATCTTGATAAGGCCGGAATAAAAAGATTAGTAGTTCCATCTAGTGAGCGATTGCGTAGTTTGTTTTTAGGCGAATGTCACGACGCAACTGGGCACTTTGGCTACAAGAAGACGAGTGCTAACCTAGTACAGCGATTTTGGTGGCCAGGAATGTTAGATGACGCAAAGAAGTACGTAGAGACCTGTCAGGTCTGTCAGCGGGACAAGCCGCGAACTCAAGCACCACTTGGGTTGTTGAAGCCTTTGCCTATTCCTGCTGGTCCAGGACAGAGTGTTTCCATGGATTTCATGGACACCCTGGTGACTAGTAAGAGTGGCAAGAGGCACATCTTCGTCATCATCGATCGATTCACCAAGTACGCTAGACTAGTGGCTATGCCAGAGACCGCAAGAACTGACTGTGTCATCAAGTTGTTCAAAGACAACTGGGTGCGTGACTTTGGTTTACCAAAGTCAATCGTTAGTGACCGAGATGTCTGATTCACAAGTGAGTTGTGGAAGAAGACTGCAGAACAGATGGGCAGTCAACTTCAGATGACTTAAGGGAATCATCCCGAAGCCATCGGACAAGCCGAGCAAATGAACAGAGTCGTACAGCACTTGTTGAGGCATTACATCAAGCCCAGCCAGGATGACTGGGATGAGCAGTTGCCTCTCATCGCCAGCTTGTACAACAATGATGTCCATAGCAGTACCGACGTTAGTCCTAATCAGCTACACTTGGGATGGAAGCCTAGATCAGCATAAGACTTCCTCCTACCTGAAAACCGACCCGCTGCAACTCCAGGCACACTTGAGTATGGTGTGCAGTATGAGAAGTTGCTGCAAGAAGCTGTCGAGCACATGAAGAAAGCTCAGCAAGCAATGATTGCTTCTGAGAATCAACACCGTAGACAGTCCACATTTCAGGAAGGGGAACGTGTCTCGGTCAAGGCTAGTGAGTTAGGACAGGAATTCGGAATCTCTCGCAAACTAATGCCTCAGTACTTTGGTCCCTGGGAAGTCCTGGATATAGTGGGAGATGAGATGGATGGCCCCACATATGTCATTCGTGTCCCTGGACACCTACGCACTCACCCAGTCTTTCATGCCTCAAAGCTTGCACCTTTCGCTCAGACAGATCAATTCCCTTCCTGGAGATCGATGCTGCCCCCAACCATGGATGGTCAAGTGGACATCGACGATATTGTGGATCACAGGGATATGCCTATTCCGAAGCCGCTTGGTCGAGGAAGACCTCCTAAACCCAAGAGAGAGTATCGCGTCAGATTCAGGCATCATACGGATCCAAAAGAAGATCGGTGGTTTACCAGCGAGGAACTGATTGAGACAGCTCCTAAGGTGGTGGCAGAATATGAGAGACTGTTGAAAGGGAAGGCACCTGCGAAGTAAGCATCTCAGCGGACTTTCGAAGCTAAGGGGGATGGAATGTGAGGATTGAGCCCTCAAGAAGATGCCTTGCCATGATGTACATGTTCTGGGCTAAGGCCCCAGCAAGCCTAGTGCCCGCCCTAAGTGAAGGCGGGCCAGCAAATCAACAAGAGCCCTCT